AACTCATTGAATTGAGAGAATTGTAGGGCTCCAACGTAACTAAACAATGTAGTTTCTCCTTTCATGGAATTACATATTGGTATTGAATTTCAATTCATGCCAACCAAACACCCCATTAAGAGTTTGTTCAGTGTTGGGAACGAAAATTGCACTTTTCGTCTTATAGTGTAATTGTAAAATTCATCCATAATTAACATTGCAAGTTTAATTTCGTCTTTTTTCTAACAGGTCGTTCTCATTTCTCGTCTCTAAACTATAACTGGCATTGCAAATTCCGTCACTAATGTTTTGTTAGAAAAAAAAAAAAGACGAAATTAAAGTTGCAAGGTCATTTATAGCTCAGGGATGAGAAGTGAGCACGACCAACAAATAGTACGTGACGAATCTTACAATTACCTTGTAACTTAAGGACAAAATGTGTAATTTTTTCATAATTAATAATATAATATACATACCCAAAAGGGACTGCCAAGAGGTAAGTGACTGCTGGGATTAAGTTGGTTAATGCACATGCAATATATGGTTGGTGTGGAATTCTTGAGCCCTACAAAGTATGTGATCTGGTTGAGGCTAATCCTGAATAATCCAAAAATATCAACATAATAATTAATTAATATTAGTAATGATATGATAATGATTGCGCATATATGCAATTAAAGTGTACGTATTGGTAAATTACATACCCAAATATGGAACAAAGGAATATATTGAAAAGGATAGAGAGTGTCATCTGTGGCCGTTTCCTCCTGTAATTATCAAAATATAACACAATCATTTAATAAGCAATCCAATCATTTGCTAAAACTAACATTGACCATTTTATTTATTTTTAATGGATGATATGTCTAAAAATACGAATAAACAGTACTCTGATCTCCAAAAAATGTAACTCTATATATAAAATATAAAGTATCAGTCATTATCAAAAGATAGTGCTTATCAGTCAATTTTAGTTTATCAGTCAATTTTAGTTTATTTGATAATTATTAGCTGTTTGATTTGGTTAAATAATCAATATGAGTGTTTGATTAGTTAGTTTTTTTGTAACAGCTTATTACTCCAAAATGCTAAAATTCAAAAAGCAGCTCAAACCAGTTTTTTCGATCAACTTTTTGAGAAAGTCATTTTATATATAATTAGCTATCAATTAACAGCTAATCTACCAAACACTTTTCTACAATCAACTAATCAAACTCACTAACTCAATCAGCTAACAGCTATTAGCTAATAACCATTTACCAAACACCCCTATATAATTTTTCCTATTTTCTCCAAAATACTTCATGGCTAGCCAGTCAGCAAGACTCATTTTCATCTTTTTCTAACTTTTTAAAAATAGTATTAAAATACTTTTAAAATGTAGTATCTTGGCACACGAAAATCACTTATATATAATATAATATAATATATGTATGCAATGTAAGTGTGGAGCAATGTAACGGCATGAAATCAAGCCCAATTTAAAATTAAGAATGAATGTCTTCAATTTGCATTGACGCTATAGTATATGATGCATGACAGCCAAAAAAAAAAACATTACATTAGAAGCATTATGCAAATTATGTATGTGTTTTCTTTTTCCAATAAATAGGCACTACATAGTACATTTCCTTTCCTTCTTTAGGTGTTTTAATGATAGACTCAAGGTGTTTAATGTTTAGAACTATATTATATATATTTTTACTTGAATTATCAAGGTAAGTATTCTATATTTTACAGAAATTATTAACCGTACGCTTCTTACTACTATATATTCCCAATACAACTAACTTAAAAGACAAGTCATATTTATCTATAAATATACTCAAATGTGTAAAATTAAATGTGCATTCGAGATTTAATCATCAATAAAATATATATTAAAAAAAAAAAGAAGTTAACTAGTGATTAACAAAGTAAATTCTCATAGATCGCGCCTTTTCCTCCATGAAAAGTATACTGTTACAATATTACAAATAACTAAGCATCAATATAATATCCCTAATACAACTGATAAACATATGCTAAAAATTAATAAGAACCTGCATGCAAATAAGTCACTACAAGAAATTAAAACACTGAAATACTTACGAATTTACTTATAATAATTTAAATATCTTTAGTTTTAGTATATATATGGATTTCATTGATTTACCTACACATTAATTTTTTTTTTTCATTGTAGTAAATGATTAATATATAATTATTATCCTAGCTAATAACAAATTAAATTGCTACCCAATTTAGTTGCGAGTTTGTTTGTTGTGGTATGAAATCATCAGCTGTGTTGCTTTTGTCGTTTTAATTTCTTCGTGTTGACGCATGAGAAATTATTTTCCGGAAAAAGGTGACGAAAAAGGGAACAAAAATATGGAGTTGAAAGCAACGTGAAAGAGACACGCATTTGTCACATTTGTCAACGTGTAACTACACAGCATTAGAGACCGTCACTATAAAGTCAAGGCGCTGCCACGATTTGAAGCCGTTACTCGTTTGCGTGCCCCTAAATACATATGCATTACGTATTTTGCGTTCAAATATATATACATCTTCCCGAGTTTCGTAAGACCCTTCATAAATGCACACAAGCTACTGTACAATCACATACAGACTAGATTATGTGTAATTCGCTCAGCATGAATACACGCAATTTAACATCTATGCATTCATATATTAACTTTTATGCATTTTCGAAGGGTCTCACGAGACTCACAGGAATAAGTGGATGCACTTAAACATTAGCCTATATATATATGAGCTACAAGAAAATTAAAACTTCCAATGAATATTCGAAAGTGTGTCCTAGATAAATTCACTTCTGTGTAATATTCTGAAATTATATATTTATGAACCGCTAAATCTTATTAATGGGTGGAGCATGAGTTTTCATCTCTATTACATTTTAATAAGCATCAGCGTTATATATAAATAAAATAAAATAAAAATTTTGTCCCTATATTATTATACAAAAATAATCATATATTCCAAAATGATATAATTAGAATTATATATTAGATAAAAACCTTCTAGTTATTTATGTGGTATCCCATAAAATTGATTTATATGGTATATAATTCTAATTACATTTTTAACCTTATAATGTTGATAGTATATAATTTCTTTTTCATAACTAATAAAATTATTTTATAATGTGTCCTTTCTTATATATATTAATATTTTAACAAGTATCTCAAGTCGTAAGTTAACTTAGTATTTATGTCTGAATTTAGAATAACTTATTTATCCCACTATCATAAGTTCAATTCTTGTTAGTGACATTTTACATATTTTTTATGTTAGCATATTATTAATACGTGAATTGGTAGTCATATCATCGTCATGCTAGCTATCTAATTACATACTTAATAATTTAAGTAATGTAGTTAATAATTTTACTTAATTATTTTATTTTTAATAGTGCATTGGTTAAATTGAACAATTTTAAAATATATGAACTAAATTAAACATTTTTACACTAATATAGAGAATTATGAAGTACTTAATTAAACCTAAAAGAGACTATAAAATGGCTAAAAACTAATCTATTTTTTATGATGGAGCTACTAATTAAAAGTATTTAGTAAGGAACATTGTTACTATATATACTCTATAAATTAAACCTTGTAAAATTTTACAATAAGATAGGTTTCCTTTGTTGTTGATATTGAGAATTGTTTATGGTATCCATTCCATTTCTATGATGTTTTTTTTTTTTTTTTTTTTTTTTTTTTTTTTTTTCATTCTCAGAAATAGCAAGAACGAAGACAATATGTTCATATCAATGGATTAATGAAAAAAAAAAAGAAGTAAAAAACATATGTGAAAAATGCATCATCATCATCATCATCATCATCATCATCATCATCATCATTTTATTATTATTATTATTATTATAATAATATTTATGTTGGTGTGTATTACCAAAAACGTTTGTTTAAAATGTATTAAAGAAAAAGTGTTGCCCCAGTAAAAAAAAGGGAAATTAAAATGACAGAATCACCAACAAAAAAGCATGACATATTACCACGAAACATATGAACATACAACCCTAACTAAGCTAGCACGGCTCATACAAGCAGCTTCAAGGAATATACGAATCAGAAAAAAAAAATGGCCGGCAAGTATAGACATATTAGCATAGCGTACCTCTCGGAGAAATATGCAATTGGAGCAATGGCAACGGAAGCGAAAAGCTGACGATAAGCGACGTGGACGAAAGGGTTCATGCCGGAATCCATGGCCAGCTTCGATATGATGTTCATCACCGCATATCCAAGTTGCACAATTATCATCATTATAAGAGCCAACAAATCTACACCCATTATATCTATATATGTATTATTTCTTGCAAATTCCTATCCTTTGCTTCTTTCTCCAATAGCTATGCCTGCTAGCAAGCTAGAGAGATGGAGAAAGAAGGCTAGGATATGATGGCAAATAAGTAAGCTAGCTAGAAAGAAAGGGGAGAACTTAAATAGCTAGCTTGCTTGCTTGGAGGAATATGCATGATGAATAAGGTTGGGTTTATATAGAGCCAGCTAACATCGAGGAAAGGATGACCAGTTTGGTATTGCCGCATAAATATCCCCCATTTTCATATATTAGAAAGGGCATTTTGGTGAAAGCATAACAAATTAACCCATCCTCGAGGCAGATCATTGCTGGAAATTATGGAATTTTCGACCACCTGAAAGTGATCTTATATTAAGTCGAAAACAAAAAGTGGTCGGAAATCCATAGCTGTTCCGCAGAGGAACCTGTTCACGCAGATGAACTACCATCCAGAAGATCTGGAAAAGTTAGATTTGAAGATGGAGCAGTCCTCCGATTCAGCCACAGAGGCTGTGTCTCTCGTTCCGAAGTGATCGCAGGAGTTCGCGAAGGAAGCTGCTAAGTGCTCGCTGGAGCTGACGATTGGAGGCGAAGCCGAGAGGTCTAAGGAGATCGTGGCCGAGCAGATCACGTCCACAGTAGTTGTGTCTCTCGATCAGAAATTCGTTCAGAGAGATAGTTGTTCGTGTATGAAGTCGAGTTCTGGAGTTTTCGAAAGTGCGATCGAGCTAAAGTTGTCTATAAACGATGAGGTTTTCGATGACTACTCGTCTGCATATTCTGAGCTTCAGTCGGATGTTCTTCGGGAGAGTTTGGATTTGGATTTCTCCGATTATAGTCCGTCAATGTGGCGTTTACTGTTGAGTGAGCTTCATGTTGAGCGTGCTAGTGCTATAGAAATTCCCAATGGGATTGGTGGTAGTAGTAGTAATGCAGAGGCGTTTGCGAATGCTATGGTTAGGTTCCGTGGAGGCTGTAGATTTGAGAATGGTAGGCCTAATGAGGGTCCTATGCATATCATAAGTTCTTTGGAGAATGAGATTGTGTATCCAAAGAAGTATAATCTTAATCCTGAGGTGAAGACTTTGTTGAAAAGGAATGTGGGAGTCTGTTCTGCTAGACTTAGAGAGAATACGAAACATTTAGAGAATCAGTCGCAGGCTTCATTAGGCTCTTTGAAGATTGGAGATTCTTTGGGATTAACTGAAACAGGGGGTGACCAATCCCCAAACGTTGTGAATAATGATGACACAGTACTTAATCACAGAGTTTCATTTGAGGTTACTGCAGAAGATTTTCTAAGGTGCATGGAAAAGAAGCCAGGATTGTTGTCCAAGGCTGGATTTGCGCCTCTTGAGAAAGGGAAATCTACTGCCAAAGGACAAGGATGCACTCCTGAAATGAAAATTGGTCACGATTGTTTTGCAGTCGAGTCCTCGGGAGAAAGCTTTGAAAGGGCTTCTGCAAATGGAGAGGAGCGTAAGCAATGGGCACACGAAAAGGCAAAACAAGCTGCGATGAAGTTGTTCAATGACATTTCAGAACTTGAGATGCTGAGGAAGGAAAGGGATGAGAAGCAGCTGCTAAAGAAGGGGATGCTAGCCATTGAAGATAACTCCATGAAGAAGCTTGCGGAAATGGAGAATGAACTCCGTAAAGCTAGTGGTCATTCTTCCTCTTCTGAGGCTCCAAACATGTACAGGTTGTGCGTAGTGTTTCTAACGTTTTGCTGCATTGGCTATGCAATGCCTTTTATTCTGTGTGCAACAATCTGTTGCTGCCTCCCTTGCATAATTTCTATCCTAGGCTTCAGAGAAGATCTGTCACAAAACAAAGGAGCCACACCAGAATCAATCAATTCTCTGCCTACCTATAAATTCAAGGTAAAGAAAAACAAAAGCAAAGATAGTGGAGGACTTCTGCGCTCATGGAGCTGAGTTCATGATGAAGAATGATTCTTCATGTTGATGGTTTCTCTAGCAGAGCAGAATGGCAGAATCTGATGGTTTGAAAAGAATGGGTGTTTAAGGAGGTCCACCATCCTTGGTGGACTCAATGAGAAGCCTGGATAATCAAGAAAAGAAAAGAATTACATCAAGTCCTACTAGTTGAAGCTACTGATTGTGAATCTCACTACCTTTTGTGTTTAAGCTGGGCATGTAGGATCTACACGCTCCAGCTTACGTGTTGGAGGATAAAAATAAATAGAAAATAAATAGTATAGGGCTTTTATAGTCTTTTCTCCTACTTTCCATAACCGTTCATCTTCTTCCTTATATTGTAAAGTTTTGTATTGTTTTTGTGTGAACTGAAATACATTTTTCCGTCTTCTCAAAGCTGCTCTCTCTGCTTCTCTTTCATTCGTTCATTCATGTAGTTCACCATTCCGACAATAGCAACAGAAGTTTTTTCGGATACCAAAAATGGTCAGAACAAGGCTTTCGACTTGATTTAAGATCATTTTCATGTGGTCGAAAATTCTATAATAATTTTCAACCGTGGATGAACTCGATCGTGACATTTTCATGCTAGAATCATATTCCACCCACTCAGAAATACCTTTATGTATATTTATTATTTTTAAGTACTACTCTCCTATTTGGAGAATCACAGTTATACCGCTTGACCACAAAGTTTTTAGCACATATTTATTATTTATATATACTATACTTAACAAATGTGACATTTCCCTGAAAATATGTACGCGTAAGATCAAATCGGTGAGGTAGTCTACACATTATGCGATGAAGAATAATTTTATAATAGCTGATAATTAATAATTTGGCAGTAGTTGATGATCAAAATATTGATTTCAAATATTAATTTAATGTATTGTCACTTTCTTTGTTAGATTAATTAGCTATTTATGATATAATTTGCTTTTACTGTTAGTTTCATCCCAACACATGCATGATACATTTATATATCGACTGCTCTAGAGTTATTAGTTTATTCATAATAATCAAGTGCTGATCGAGATAATTGAAAATTTTTGTAATAAAATATATAGTATAATTTATAAATGAACTATTCTTAGCAAATATGTATACAACACTTTACAAATGTGAGATTAATCTTTCCCTTAAATGTATATGTGTATATTTTCACCTATATATCCTCTAAAATTATGACATTTTAATCACAATTAATTTGATGATTAGAGTTAAAATTCGCTACACAGTAATATATATATAGGGTCTCGTTCAGGTGAGAATATGCGAACTTTTTCAGTAATGTATAATAAGTTATTCATAAATGCACAATAACTACTCAAGTTCTGTGACTACTACATGAATGCACCAAAATCGTTACATGAATTCACAGAAATTACTACACGAATGTAATTTATGTAGTAGCCACAGAGCTGAAGTAGTTATTGTGCATTCATGTAGAATTTACCGTGCACTCCGCATGTTCTCACGTTAAGAGGTGTTTTTACCTAAAAATATATATATATATATATATATATATATATATATATATATATATATAACAAAAATGTAAATGATTAATTATTGAAAAACGTAAAGGGATTTGTTGTGGAAAAGGGTGCGTTGATGCATGCATGGTATGAAAGGTGGCACAAAATTGTTGAAGGACAGCAGTTTCAGTTTATAATGGTGATTGCCAGCTTTTTATCTTTTCCCCTGTTTTGATAAAAACTTGCGGCACCCAAATTCCATTTCTTAATGGATCTCTTTGATGAGCATTGCATGGACTGTGGGGCCCATGCAATTCTTGTGACTTTGAAATTTCTATATATGGTAAGGAAAACACCATAGGCAATAGTACTCTTACGTCGACATACGTTCTTGTTACCATCACACGTTACCCTTACACGGTCTTTTGTTGTTTTTTTGCATAATAAACGGGAAATGAAATAGCATTACATGGAATATGAGTTTTGTTTTGTTTTAAAAATTACGAAATTACCTTTCAAAAAAAATTACGAAATTAAATTCTATGGAATTGAATATTCATTTTGCAATAAGAATGGTCATTCTCAATGCTCCCATGTTCCTATTACATCAAGAATTGGGACATGATGAAATGAGAACTACTATTACTTTCATGCGAATATCAGAACTGCACAATCATACAATTATAAGTTGTAAAATCAGACATTACAAGTTGCACATCAGACATTATAAGTTGAAGAACACAAAATATGAAAATAGTTACAGATCAAAATGTGAATTTGTAGGATGCACAATCACTTATGCGCGAATGCACAATCAAACATTATAAGTTGCACAAAAGCTAGCTCACACGTTCCCATGAGAAGAGTACTTCTCATTCGATCAAAATTATATATATATATATATATATATATATATATATATATATATATATATATATATATATATATATAACTATATATAACTATATATTTTAAAGAGCATTTTATCTTGAATGAATCACTAATTACTAATTATAGTTGAATATTGTGATCTTTATGATTTGTGTTGAAGATCATATATTAATTTTAATTATTTCAATAGTTGTTGCATATTTTAGTGCTTTACAGTGTACATTTTTGCCTTTCAGTGCACATTGTTATGGCTTGCATGTGGTGGATTTTAAAAAAAAAAGAATGGTTAAGATGCACCTGCACGTTTTTTACTTGAACCCCTCCCTACATATATATATATATATATATATATATATATATATATATATATATATATATATATACTAGTCTTTTTCATATATAAAATTATATGAAATCAAATTTATTTATTATAATAATCCAATATATAATATCTACAAATATTAGTGATGGTTTTAGGGTTTTCGGGCCCAAGGAGGTCCAACACAACCTTTGGTCGGAGGATACACCTCTCAATAATATATATATGTATCAACCTTTGGGGGGGTTGCACCGGATTCAAAATCTATATATATATATATATATATATATATATATATATATATATATATATATATATATATATATATATATATATATATATATATATATATATATATATATCTAAAAACATAATAAGTATCAATCAAAGTTATGTCCCTCATTTATGTTCATGTTTTTAATGCTAATCATTTTGTAAATTGTGCTTTTAGAGTTGTACTATATAATTCTTTGGACAAAAATACCCCTACTGTTATAACTTCCGTTATCTTTTCCATTATTATTATCATGCACATGTATTCACTATATATTTTCTTATATTCTTTATGATAATAATTGATGGTTTTAGGGTTTTCGGGCCCAAGGAGGTCCAACACAACCTTTGGTCGGAGGATACACCTCTCAATAATATATATATATATGTCTAACTCAGGGACAATGTTAGTGCTCGGAAATTCTTTGTTATTCTCCCCTCTTCCGGGTGTCCGAAAATGTCTGTCTTTTACAAGAATGGAGGAGCCTTTATATAGTGGTTCCTCTTCTGCCGACTTGAAGGCCCTTAATGGCCAACTTCAAGGCTAATCAAGGTATGGAGCCGTTGGACGCCATTACTTGGTCGACCAACGGCTCTCCTAGGCTTGTAACAGCCCGACCGGGTCCTGTCTTCAATGCTTCAACGGCTCTCTTTTAAAGGAACCCCTTTAATGCCCTCAACGGCTCCTCGAGCCGGATCCCTTCCTGGGCTTGGGCCTCGGCCGACTCCTGGACTCGACTTGACTGCTCTTTGGGCTCCTCTCGATGCTTGCCCACTTCTATTTTCTTTGGGCCCTTATTTCTTGGGCCGGGGTCCTTACCCCATCAACTAGTCCCTCACTTTTCCATACCCGGTCCTCCAACCTGGGTTTGGAAAAGTAGCAACTGCTCGTCTCCTTTAGTTACCGTATCCGTGCCCTGAATAGCCCCTTGTAACGTCCGGATCATCAGCCATCCTCTCCGGATCTCGCGGAGCCGTTGGGATTCTTTCATCTAGGCTTGACACCTATAAATGGCCTCCTCCCTTCTCTCTTATCTTCACAAGTTCATCATGGGTCGCTCTCCCTTGAAAGGGAAACGAATTGACTTCGGGTCTCCTTGGCGTCCGCTGCCTTCTAAGCGGACTCGGCCTGAGAGGGGAAGCAAGAAAAAGGCTTCTCGTCCGGCTCCTCGGAGATCTCCTGCTGGTGCCACCTCCTCAGCTTCTCAGCTGCCGACCCCACCTCGGCGAGAAGTCGTGCCGCCTTTGCTTCGTCCGCCGACTCCAGCAACCGCAAGGGTGACTTCTCAAGACGGATCCTTTGTGGAAGTGGCCGTCCCTGAACAATTGACTTTCAAAATAACTTTCTCCATCCCGCTGGATGACCTGGACGGGCCGGTCACGGGCCTTATGGATGACGAGGATTACGCCCGCTACCTGGAGGCGTATCCGGATGATGAGGAACCCATTGCGCCGCCGCTCATGCCAGCTTTCTGGGACTCGTTCTGCCCCTCTCCCCCTGGACCATCGGGGGGATTCTTTGGGGGCGACTCTTCCTCGCCTGGCGAGTGACTTTATGTACCGGGGTCGGTCATAGCTCGGAGGAATCTTTTTTAGGAGCATTTTCATATTCCTTATTTGCAATAAGCTCCTTGCTGCTTGTACCCTCCTTTTCCATAATAATAATAAAAGCGCTATTTTCGTCTTGCCTTATGTTTTGTCGTGTTTTGTTGCGTACCCATCCGGACGACTGGTCAAGGAGTCGGTCACATCGTCAGGTTCTTTTCAGTCTGACACCTGCAAGATTCCCCATAGCTCGGGTAAATCCAACCTTTTCTATGTTGGCGTGCGAATCTTGCTCTTCCCGGGCGGATCTGATGGAACTAATCTCTGACAAAGATTCTCATCATCCGTCCAATCCGGCTCAGTTATGCCAGTCTCCTCCGTAATTATCGCCTAGATATTCGCCTTCCCTGGGCTATATAAAGACCCTTCACAGTTGATGCAAATCGCAACACTCTTCATTTTGTGAAAGCACGGCGCTATGAGTTACA